TGATATGTTAAGCCTTTTTTTACGAACTTACACCGTTTTGGTGATGTATTAAGCCTTTTTTTTACAAACTTATACCTTTTTAGTGATGTATTAAGCCTTTTTTTACAAAGTTGTACCTTTTTGGTGAATATATAAAATGTGTAATTTAATTATGTTTCCGAAAAGTTGGGCTTACGGTTTCGTCTTGATTCTATTTATAAATATTTGTTGCATTTACTTGTATATATCGAGACGTATTTATAGATCAAACTTTCAAAACACGGGAATCGTCTCTTAAAACAACGTTTTCTGCTGAAGAAAAATACTTAAATTGGTAAGTCGTCATAGATAGAAATAAGGATTGAAGGGGGTTGGGGGGTGGGGTACTGTTTGGCACCCAGATTCATCTGTAGATACTTATAGCTTATGTTGATCGTTTCGAAGCGTTTTATACTCCCAAGCACCAGAGAAAACTGGAAAATTTGACGAAATATTTTATTTTACTGTAGAGACGCCCTACAAATCATATATATCACTGAGAATAGCAGGCGTACCAAATTTACCCTTATATATACATATGTAATATAACGAAAAGAGGGTTAAAGAGGTATGTTGGACTTTGTGGTTCCAAACAGTATAACATCCCGGACTTTGTGGTTCCAAACAGTATAACATCCTGGACTTTGTGGTTCCAAATAGTATAACATCCCGGACTTTGTGGTTTCCAAACGGTATAACATCCTGGACTTTGTGATTCCAAACGGTATAACATCCTGGACTTTGTGGTTCCAAACGGTCTAACATCCCGGACTTTATGGTTCCAAATAGTATAACATCCCGGACTTTGTGGTTCCAAACAGTATAACATCCCGGACTTTGTGGTTCCAAACAGTATAACATCCTGGACTTTGTGGTTCCAAATAGTATAACATCCCGGACTTTGTGGTTCCAAACAGTATAACATCCTAGACTTTGTTGTTCCAAACAGTATAACATCCTGGACTTTGTGATTCCAAACGGTATAACATCCTGGACTTTGTGATTCCAAACGGTACAACATCTTGGACTTTGTGGTTCCAAACAGTCTAGCATCTTGAACTTTGTGGTTCCAAACAGTCTGACATCTTGGACTTTGTGGTTCCAAACAGTATAACATCCTGGACTTTGTGATTCCAAACGGTATAACATCCTGGACTTTGTGATTCCAAACGGTACAACATCTTGGACTTTGTGGTTCCAAACA